GCACTGCCTTTAGAATCTTTTACTTTGTGATTCTGTTCAAACCAGGCGTCCTCAAACTACGGTCCGCAGGCCACATGAGGCCTGCCTAGGACATTTATCCGGCCCGCTGGGTGTTTTTGCCGCCACTGCCTGTCCTGCTTAGCAGCCAACTCGTCCTGGGGCCCGCAGTGAACTGGTCCCGTTTAAAAAGTTTGAGGACCCCTGTAAACCTTTGCTCTTTGACAAACATTCCACAATCTAAATTCTAAATTCGGTCTTTTAGACATCAAATTAGCGTTTTAAGTATTAGGATCACTGAAAGTCAGACATATTAGGCTTATCCGGCGTTAATAATCTTCATATATGAAATGGTGTTTAATTTTCCTTGGATCGTGTTTGTATATCCATGTTGCTAATATGTGGTCCAGTATTGTACATCAGTAGTAATTACAGTTATGTTAAACTGTAGGCCACAAACACGTCTGCCAATTGCCTCTTTAACCAAAGCTATTCTAAGACTTGTCTTCCATAGGCGATTATTTTTATTTGTCTCTAAGTGGGTTGGGTTTTTTAAAACTGGCTAGGTCAGTCTGTCCTCCCAGAAAAGCCATGGAAAGGACAAATTCTCTTAAATACAGATTTCTTATAACCTTGAAGATTATATACTATCACATTAAAACAAACTTTCTTTTCTACTTTAATTAGAAAACTACCACATTCCCGAGTATTGCTAACTTAACCTCAATGGAACAGAAATTACACGGGACTGAGATCATTTTCTGTGACTTTTCTCTTGCTTTGTTTTGCAAGTCAGGTTTCCGAAACTATTGAATCCCACCTGGTAATGCCGTGCTGCTCAAAGCCCTTCCTCTAGGCCCAGGGACTACAGCAGAAGAGGCGGGTGAGAAACTGTAAAGGCTGGAAGGGATGGGATCATCAATCAGGAAGCCCTCCAGATCAAAGACAGGCACACAGGTCTAACTAAATATTACAGGAGACACTCTGCCCTTGAGGCCACATGGTACATGGGTCCCTCCCCATCATGAAAAAGTCCTGCTACCCCATAGACTTAGAGCTTCCTGAGTATAATTACTCTCAGTTATGGGGTTTATGCAAAAGAAGGTAACAAATGTTATCGGCCAAGTTAGGGTAAGTTAGTAAAGAGACTAAAATATCACCATACACCAAAAGTCCCTAAATCCCGCAAGTTAACTACGCTTGTGTTTGCCACAAGCTCGCAACTAAACTGGAGATGAAGTAGCTCAGCATTTACAGACTAATTTTGTAGCCTTGGCTTTGACACTGGTTTACACTTACAATGCCTAGAAGGGCTGAAAGGTTGAGGAGTGCCTGCACACCTCTAGTCCCATCTAGCCTAACACATCTAGTCAGCCATAAGCCCCTTTGCTACTCAGTCCTCTTAGCCCCCAAAGGTCCCACCAGGGCCCTGGCTGGCCCCAGGGCAGGTAGTGACATCATCTCAGCAACAGGTGGGACAAAGTAGGACTTTGGCCATAGAGGCTGCCTCCAGCAGATCTCGGCCAAAAGGAGGGGAATTGTGAACTAAAAATCTTAAGGCTCCCCTGCAGTGGCTGACTGATTGGACCCCCTCTTTGCCAAAAGAATCCCCAAAACTGAGTTGCCAGCCCTGAGAAAGGCAATCAGACATGGCCCCCTGGCCTTCCCAGAGATGTCCATGCCTCATCAACAGGGCCAAGGCTGTGCAGGACACACCTGCAGGACACGCCTGCAGGACCTCAGTACACACAGCAAACCCCCAAGTCTGTCCAGTCCTTGGTCTCTGACTGAACTGTTATCTTCAGCATTCCTTCTCACTGACTCCTGATCTTTTAGACAAAGCCTCAGCCTTTCACCTCATTCTTAGCTAAATAATCTTTAAACCCACCTCTAACCTCTAAGAAGCCCCTTCCAGCGGTCTCACCTTCTCAGACCAAACCAATGATCACCTTGCATGTATCGATTCCACAACGGCTACTTTCAGAAAGAGCACTGTTTACTGACCATTCTGATATGACTAACTTACACTTCACCAACAGGCAACTTGGAGTGAGTCTGAGTGGGGCAATTTAGAATCCACATGCGGTCCTGGTTCCTCGTTACCCCTCGGTAGGCCCCGCATGAAACCTCAGGTGGTAAGAATAAGATGGAGTCTGGTGGGCTGGGGTAGAGGGGTCAGGGGGGTGACACAGATGGTCTTCACCTCTGCTCTCCTGTTCTTACTGCTTCGTAAATTTAGCTCCCACCCTAAAGATGCCCATGTGGAACACTTCAGGAATGAACTTCTGAATTGGAAATGTAATAGATCGTCACTGAGTTGTGCTGATTTAAAATAGTGATTCACAGCAGAGATCACAACCCTTACGTATAAAACTATAATCTGATAATAGAAGGCAGAACGGTCTTGGAGAAGCAACTCTCCCTGCGCTCCAGAATTCCAGCCTTCTGATCAACTTCGGTGGACCTGGCCCCTCCCCATGTATACTAGCTGACAGGGACAGGCGGCCGAACTCTCCGGCCAGGAACATCTGTATCTCACTTTTGGTTTTTACTCTCACACCCTCAGTTTTTGCTGCCTAATACATTCATGCAGAACTGAATTCAGGCCCAGAGATTTCTCTCCAATGAGACCCCATCCCACCTCTAACCTAGGTTGAGACCACCTCCTCTCAACTCCTACCCCCACTGACCCCAGTGAGCTCCACCAGAATCTGCAGGAAGCAGATCCAGAACAGACCTCCATCCTCAACCCACAATCCCCAAGTTCACTCAGCTCATTTTAAATGGACGTTTTTAGAGAAGGGAATATAAGAATGGTCTTAATGGTTAAAAAAAATTAACTCAGCTTTTCAATAAGGACTAAAAAATCTTTCCTGCTAGCTTTCTCTTCCCAGCCCCATCCCACCCCTGTGGATCTGTTTTCACAAACCATTGAGGAACCCAACAGACAAAAAGAAATGTTAATTCTTTCTCTTTGCATTTCCCCAGCTCATTTGTCTTTCAGAATTTGTTCCTCTATTCCTGAGTAAAGATTGAAAACATGTCTGCAACCTGGAGACAAAGGCCTCACTGGACACAACACCTTGTGGCTTCAGCGCAATCACCCTTCCCCACTAAATTCACTACCCACTGGCCCTCTGGGCCGTGTCCCTCCTTTCTGGGTGATGCCAGACAATTCTCCCTTCTGTGTCTCCTTAATCTCCACTCTGTCTCCCCCCACTCGTCCCTCTAATGGGTGGTGACCCCTTAGGACTGTATTAAAGATTCGCGGCGATAAGAAGGTTGAGAACCGCTGCTCTAACACAAGAAACCTACAGGTTTATACCCTAATCTTGGCCTAGAGACTCCCCCTGGCACACAGCATCCATGGGGCAGCTGGACTTTTCCAGCTGAACTGGCATTTCTACCAGAAAGGCCAAGTGGAACTAAAGCTGGCAGCAGGGTAAGAGGAATACCAGAGCCAGAGTCAGCCTTGGGGTAGAACTTTACCATTCAAATTTGGCTTTAATTAGGGGAGACAGGATGAAAGACCAGGACAGGCCCAAGAAGGGGGTCCAAGAGAAAATTCCTGGGCAGCAGGGTCCCCAAAGTGCTCATCCTCAGTAAGAGAGAACCAGTGGGAGGTGAGAGGAATCTCACTTAAAGTTTCTTGACCAAAAGTTATCCTCACAAGGGTCTGCAGCCCCATGACCTATCCCTGACAGAGGGGCTCAAATGAACAGGCCAAAGGGACAGAGAAGGGACAGTAAAAAATGAGCTTGGGGGGTGGGAGGGGGACCTGGCCTGCAAACTGCAAAGTCTGAAGGGCCAGGAGAATGCGGGTGCAAGGTAACCTAGGTAAACAGGGACCAGAGGCAACCAAGGGCAATAGGCCGGCAGGGGCAGGAAGGCCAGTGGGGACTTGCAGCCAACTTCCAACAGAAGAAGCAGCATTTGAGCCTCCACCTCTCACCTCTGCTCCTTCACAACAGGAACCCAATTCCAACCAACAGTCTTTGGACGTGCTCTAAGCTTTCTCCTTTTCTTAAAATTTCTTTGTTACTCTGAGACTTGTGCAGGTTACTGCACTGGAGACCAGTGAGAGTAGCCTAAGACTATTCTGTTCTTCTATTTCCAAAACCACAGTTTTATACATAAAAGTTTAAAGCAAAAACCATGTTAACCCTTATCTTAAATAAGCAACATGATCCATGACCTAAAACATTTCTAATTCAAAGTTAATCTCCTAAATCAATAGCCCTAAACTACTCAAGATGCACACTTTTAGATTACAGCTGAATCTATGAAATGAGAATGGGATCACATAGACCCTAACCCGGCCAGGCCAGCTGTGTCATCTCAGCCCCAGCCTGACTGACTCCACCTTATTCTCACTACATGGAAGGCAGGGAGAGAACGACAGGCTTCATTACTACGACGGCCTGAAACACAACACCAGGTAAACGGTCCCTGAAACAACCAGGGCTGGCCAGGGCTCCCGCTGACCTGTGCACAGGCAGGCCCATCGTAGCAGCGACAGGACTGACAGGAGAGAGGGACATTTGCAACCTGGTTCAGAGATCACAACTGTGCTAGACATGGCTGGGACAGTCTCTAATTTTTTTAAGTTAGGTGCCAATATCTAAACAAGTTTTAGATAAAAATCCACATTTTTGGCTTCTTTTCAATAAACAAAGCCCTTAGCAGAATAAAGACTATCACCAAAGGGCAGTGGCTGGCTGTAGCTCTGTGGAGCCTGCAGAGGGGGCCTGAGCAGAGGGCTGGACAGAGCACGTCCTGCAGGTCCCATGGCCCCTGTGGACAGCAGGCCCACCGCATCATTGTCCTCAACTGTGTCCCCAGATTAGGGCTAACTGCAGACCACAGCAATGCTCAGGCATCCCTGTGGCCCTATGCATCAGACATCCTGCGCCCTGTTTTACCACGTTTGGGTGCAAAGGAGGGGAGAACCAACAGCAAGGCATGCCGGCTCTGGAAGGGAATCTCCCGAGGTCTTCACATACCTGGAGACCCAAAGTACCTGAGGGTCACCTCCTGAGTCTTCACCTCTCCGGCCACGTTTTTTGCCATGCACTGGTAAATGCCCTGGTCGGTCTCCTGGGTGTTCCGGATCATCAAGGTCCCATCATCTAGCAAGTTGAGGCGGGAATCCGTCTTCATGCTCAGCTCATTGCTATAAAGACAGAACTGGCTCACTTCAATATTTAAAGCTGGAGGCAACGCTCTGCCTACCCAAGAGGATCTGTCCTAGAAAGAGGCTCCGTCCCCTGTGTGCACCCAAGCACAGGGGCAGCCCCTTCCCGGGGAGTCTGTCAGCAGCCCCCTGACTTGCAGGTGTTTCCCACAGGTGCCCACAATCTCTCCCACTCATTCACTCATCTGCTTTCATTAGTCACACATTCGATCCACCTGAGTATTTTAAAGTGGTTCCAATTCCAAACGGGAAGAAATTAACATAGTGGGAAAATCTCAAAGGAAATGTTTTGCTTAGTTTCTGGCAAATTAAACCAAAAGGAAAGATTGGAAATGTATCTTTACATTACTAAAAACTGGACAAATCAGTCTTTTAAAATAGATGCCCAAGCCAGGCACGGTGGCTCAGGTCTGTAACCCTAGCACTCTGGGAGGCTGAGGCAGGAGGATCAATTGAGCTCAGAAGTTGGAGACCAGCCTGAGCAAGAGCGAGACCCCGTCTCTGCTAAAAACAGAAAAACTAGCAAGGCATTCTGATGGGTGCCGTTAGTCCCAGCTACTTGGGAGACTGAGGCAGGAGGACTGCTTCAGCCCAACAGTTTAAAGCTATGACACCAATGCACTCTACCCAGGGCAACAGAGTGACATTGTCAAAAAATAAATAAATCTAAGTAAAAATAAAGGGGATGCCTACAGGCTACTGGTGGCTTCTCTTCTGGGAAGTACCGTGAGCCCATCCTGAGATAGCAGAGCCTGGTTTTTATCCTACATGTGACTCAGCTCCCAACATCCCTGAGCTCTCCCACAGCAGAAAAGCCTCAACCTCTGTCTGCCGCCTGTGACTCAGAGGCACGTAGGGAGGAGACAGGTGGGGTCTGACACCACTGAGATCACAGGACACGGCAAACCTGAGGACAGAGGAGCCA